ACGTACTGTTAGTATGTAAAAGTTTGATCTGTATACATAACTAGACATATATCACTATCATATATGTCATTGTTACTTATACTTTCATAGTATTACGTATCTTACCACTAATTAAGAATTTTCTACATATATCTTACATTTAGAGACATGTATTTTTGCTAGCAGATACATGAAAATAGGGGGAGAGGCGAGCGGAATTAGGGAGGGAGGCAAGTGAGATTCGTATGTATCCTGATACATGTGAATCATACTAGATATACACTATATATATGTGTGTTTGTCTCTGTGTGTGTGTGTATCTAGTATACCACATACAAGTGAGGGTGACGATCAAGATGGGAGAGCGGTGAGGAGGCTAGCGAAATTTTAGATGTATCTCAGTTACATACGAATCCACTTATATACAATGTATCGAGAACAAATTACACCTAAATCTGACCTTATGTATCTGAGATATATGTATTTGGAAGCACTAAAATCTAGTAAAATATATCAAATTGTAAATTAAAATGTATGTAAATAATTAGCTCCTAAACTAATGGAATTTATGAAAGTCCCCTCCATTAAATGGAATTTGGAAAAGAAACATTTCATATTTGAGCCAATAAATATGGGCTAAACATTTGTTGAAGCCCATATATTGTATTTTAATGGGCCAGAAAACTTCTTAAGTCTCATTATACTTGGATCAAAACACAGCAATAAAGTGTATTATTTGGGCCATTAACATTATTGGGCTTGACTATGATCTCTCTCGATATACATTAATATTTAGAATTAACGCGAACACGTAAATTACCTTTCATGATCTGATCACCTCTAATGCAAATTTCTCCGGCGTGATTCCGGGGAAGGAGTGTTCCGGTGTTGGTATCGATGATCTTCATCTCGGCGTTACGAACAACTGTCCCGCAGGAACCTGATTTGACATCAAACTGTTGTTTTGCAAATGCTAAACACATTGATAAAACTGGGCCTGCTTCAGTCATGCCATATCCCTATTCAATTTAATGTGTATATCACAATAAGACATAACATTAGTTTATAGACTTAAGCCCAAATTGTACATGGTTTGTTTTTTCTTTTCTAGCTCTATTTATGTCTTTTGCAATAAATGCCGTTTTATTAAGTTAAAATTGACATTTGGTGTTATAAAATGCACTTATAATAGTAGTACTATCATGTCATCTAAATGAAAATTATAATGATCCATAAAAATGAGATTTATAACTTTGGAAAATAAAAAGGTGAAAATCAAACTAAATGTATCATTTTTTTTGAGATAGTTTAAAGATAAAAGAATGTACATGGAAATAATGAATAGATCGCCTCCTGTCATTGTTTTCTCCTCGCAAACCAGATCTATTTAGTTGTAAAGCTTAACTTATATACGATGTTAATATAAAATACATACATATATATATATATATATATACACACACACACTCACTCTTTATTGTCCCTTTCAATAAAACTATTTCTTTCTTTTTTTGACAACTCTTTAATTCTACCATGACATGTTTCAAGCAAGAAGATCAAAAAATATTCTGGTATTCTACATATCATAAGTTTAATCACAAAATCCAAAAGTCGATTTTTACCTTTTTAAGCTCTGTGTCAAGTTAAATTCAAACAAACAAATTGAAACGGGACAAAAATATATACCACTAGTGTGCTTCAAACTTGTTATAGATTATGTTTTTATACCGTAAAAGAAATATTTTGTTCTTTTAATTATGATGACGGTGTTCAAGTCATGACTCTCACGCATACCCTCAACTATTTCACATCAACTACATCCTAATAACTCATACAAATATAGATATTACGTAAATCTATCTTTCAAATATATCGGACGAAATTACTTATAATTCTCTTGTCCATCCCAATCACTAGGCCGGCTATTTATATAGTTGAGTGCAAATATTCTTCTACTCAACACTAAAAATTAAAAATTATAAAATATTTTTTTAAAATTATACAAAAAATTTTAAAATAAAATAGGATTTTACCTGTCCTAGTATGGCATTAGGCAATTTAGCTCTAACGGTATCTTCAAGCTCTTTTCCCATTGGTGCTGCCCCTGACATTATCATCCTTATAGATGACAAATCATATTTATCTACCAATGGACTTTTTGCAATAGCCAATACAATAGGTGGCACAAATGGTGCAATTGTTACTTTATATTTCTCCACTAATTCCATTAAACCTTTTATCTCAAATTTTTGCATTATCAAAATAGTTGCACCAACTCTCAATCCACAAAGCAAAATTGAATTGAGAGAATAAATATGAAACAATGGCAAAACACACATGATCACATCTTCACTATGGAAATAAAGATTAGGGTTTTCACCATCAACTTGTTGTGCCACACTTGTAACAAGTCCTTTATGTGTAAGCATCACTCCTTTTGGTAACCCCGTCGTACCGGACGAATAAGGTAATGCCACCACATCATCAGGAAGAATTTTTACACTATCAGATAAAATGATGTTGTCATCATTAGAATTGTTTTCGTCCGATGGATGAGTGGTAGTTAATAATAACTCCGCGAAACTAAGACATCCATCGGGCAACGGCAAGGAATCGTCCACGCACACGATTTTAACTCTATTTTCCTCGGCGTAACGCTTGATTTTATCGACGTAGCACGATTGCGTTACGATGAGCTTTGCGTTCGATGCTTTCGCTTGCTTCGTAATTTCGGACGGAGTGTAGAACGGGTTCGCGGTCGTGCTTATCGCGCCTCGGAACGATGCCCCGAGGAACGAGAACACGAATTCGGGCGAGTTCGGAAGTAAGATCATGATGATATCTCTTTGTTCGATACCGAGTTTGTGGAGCCCTAGGGCGATTCTTTTGGCAGCAAGATCAACATCGGAATAAGTGTATGTCACACCCGTGGCACTATTGATTAAACAAGTGCGTGAACTAAATTTAGAAATGTTTTCAAAGCAATATTTGTGAAGAGGTAAATGATTTGGGATGTAAATATTAGGAAGTTTTGATCTAAAAATATATTGATCATGATCATGATCATGATAATTAATTTCTAATTTGTTGATCATTTTTTCCATAATCTTTTGTTTTTGCTTTTGGAGAGAGAGAGAGAGAAAATAGAAGGTGACTTATAGGTATAACTTAGATGAATGATCTTTATATTTATCTTTGGTTTGTTTGGGAATTGGTAAGTTATAGACAAAGCAAGAGGATTAATTAGGTGATGGTAGAGGGGTCAAGTAAATTAATAGATTGTTTTGGAGTTTGTTAATAAAATTTTGTTAATAAAATTTTGAAATCGCTGCCAGTGCAGCGATATACCTTATTTTTTAAAAAAAAAGTAAATTAAAAAATAATATCAAATCGCTGCCATGGCAGCGATTTGTAAGAAGAAAAATTTTGAAATCGCTGTTTGGGCAGCGATTTCATTTTTTTATTAAATTTTCTTTTTTTGCAAAATCGCTGCCTCAACAGCGATTTTACTTTTTCAGGTAAAGTAAATCGCTGCACCGGCAGCGATTTTATCATTTTGGTTAATATAAAATTTTATACCGTTTTGGAATTTTTGTTAATATTTTGTACCCTTTGAGTTTCGGTCTCAAATATTACGTTAGCAGAAGTGTATGTACATGTTCACCTAACATAATGACTAGTCAAAAACATAACTTAAATTAATACACTAACATATATTGTTAATAATATACTAATAATAATGTATTTTTATATGAATGAAAATTAAATCTGGCTAGGTCAAAACTTTGAAATAAGTCTATACACAATGTAACAAATTGGTACAGCTTAATTACCTACTTTCATACTAAAATAGTTAATTTATACTCCCTCCGTCCGATATTATTTGTCATGGTTTCTATTTTTAGAGTCCAACTATAAAAACTCTGACTAACATTTTAAAATGTATTTGTTCATCAATATTAATAAGCAAAACATTGCAATTTATAGTTCTTTTTATATAGTTTTAGAATATCTAATTTTTTGATTAAAATATCAACTTATTGTGATCTAATTTAACTTTGAAAATTAGTCAAATTAACTTTTGAAACAAACAATACCGGTCAGAGGGAGTATTGGTTAGCATGCTTTGTTTTCTTTGTTAAGTTACATATATTTAGTGTTGTGAGCACCAAAAGTTTCACAATCATAATATTTAGCAATTTACTCTTAACTCTTAACAATATAATTAATATATTTTACTTTTAAAATAATTGATTTTAAGGAAAATTGAAAAAAATATAATTAACTAATTTTTATTTTGATAAATCAATAAATATTTTGAAATTGATATTTTATTAATGTTCATAACTAATATGAGACTAAGCGAATATTGAATATTCTTTCCCTTTTTTGGTTTTGGTTTGGAAAAAAAAGAAAAGGTAATCTACTTTGACACCACAACTTATTTTCAAATTAATTTCTTTCCTTTTTCTTTGTCAAATGTTATCTTAAAACAATAATTTAGTCATTTATTCTTGAGCTACTAATTAAGGTATTTGTCTATTTCCTTTCATACATAGATGTAGTGTTTTATATACTCTAAATTCTAAAATATTCGATTAATTGAAATTTATATCGTATCATGGCGTGGTCCGAAAATATGTAAACGAATCTTATATCTATCGTTATAAGATAGAAAAATAATTTTCGATAGATCATACGCTCAGAAACATTACGAGCCATAAATTTAATGTGAAGCTAGTTTGAGGCGTTCACCAAACATCACTATATGTCATTATGGACGTTAACTACAAAGTTCATTTCTATCATAACCAACCACTATTTTCATGGATGATACATATCATTATCAACCAAAAATACAACCATAAGGTTGAAAATAAAGCTTACTTGATTTAATATTACTCATCACCTAATTTTTCTGCAGATAATTAAAGAGTATATAGCTCATGATACACAAAAATCCATATCATAAGAAGTTGGAAGCAAGATTAAGCTCTCAACAAAATGTTGAGAAAATCGCGAAGCATCAGAAATTTTTCATTCTCCAGAAAAAATACATGGTATTATCAATAGTTTCAAGGTAATAGAAAGTCAGTAAACCTTGAAAAAGCTTATGCAACAATGCCTACTGTAACAACATATTCTTTCAAATTTATCATCATTATATGATATCTTAACAAACAAACCAAAAGAAAAAAATGATGTAAGATGTAAAGGGCAACAACACTTGTGGCCTTTTGAAAGAATTTTTAACAAAGTCAAGCTATCAAAGTAAAATTGGATGAATTAGAGAGAGTGCAGTTTTTATGGCTTCAAAGCAAGGGCAAGACCTAACTTGGGTACTGAACTCTTTGCCTTTGTGTCGTACTCGGCTGAGAAAGTAACAAGTGACTTTGGCCTCCATTCCCGCTGGTAAAGCATTGCAACTTTCCCATTGTCAGAAAATCTAGTCTTCAACGATGTTAATGAGTCGACCTTGTGAGCACTCCCGATGCTGAAGCTGTTCTCGTAGGTAGATAATCTGTGTATCATCTCTGCACCTACTTCAGTTCCATTTGTTGGATCTACCAAGTGTACATATGATGCCTTCACAGCTTGTCCCCTATCCGTTCTACATGGATATCAACAAAAAGTGCAGATTAGATACTTGAGATGCTTTTGACAGGATGAATAAAGCTAATGTACATCATCAGTTAGAAAAATATAAATTGAAGTGTTTCAGCCATCGTATGAGTTCTCGATCATACACTTAATCTAGACCAACTTTTTATGCGCTCAAGAAACAACTGAGAAATGGAATTAAGTTACAATTACAAACCCTCATTGCAAAGAACCATATAGCGCGAGCTATATCCCAGACATGCAGATTTCAAGAGTCCGGAGCCAAAAGGGCAAGGCACATCGCCCCATACCTTATTGGTGGGCCAATTCCCTTCTTTCCCAAAGACTCCCCCCCCCCCAAAAAAAAAAAAAAATCAAATTACTTTTAATATTTCCTTGCATTTCGGTGCTCATTGCTCTCATCAACTTTTTGTGACCTTTGATAAGCACCAGAAAACTGAGTAAAGTAGGAAAATGACATGACCACAACAGAATGAAATACACATAATGAGTTAAAATAATTTATATTAGTAAAGAAACAAGATAAGTAAATTAAATAGAGTATGTGATATCCAAAGTAAATTTTCTGATATAAAACTAAAGTATCATCAATTTCTTTCTCTTAAATTAAGCAATGTAGTATTTTTATTGATGTAAGAAAAAGAGTTGGGGGGAGAAAAAATCTAGAGAGAGAAAGAGAAGGGAAACACGGGCAGAAAAAGAGAAAAGGAGCAATTTGATTATATAAATGTTCACATAAACAGTGATAAAGGATTTTTTTTTTAAAAAAGTTGTTCTTAAAATGGAAAACTATCATGTCAAAATGTTTTTTTGAAAAATACAATAACTGATTTTGTTCTAAGTACTTTTACCAAAAGTGAAATAAATATTACATTTTCATTGTTGTTTTGACTTTTCTTTTGTTATTTCTTCAACCTTTTCTAATTATTTCCTAACTAGGGTAAAAGTTGTGGTTTCCTTTGGGGCTCACCAATAAGGTGTAAGGCGCACAGGCCTTACAGCATATAGAAAGCTATATCCCAGACATGCAGAATTCAAGAGTCCGGAGCCAAAAGGGCCACATTGCCCCAGACGCCTTGAAACAAAGCCCCCCCACCCCCCACCCAAATCAAATACTTCTAATATTTCCTTTCCTTTCGGTGCTCCTGCTTTCAGTCGCCAGAAAACCTAGTAAACTAGGAAAATCACATGACCACAACAAATGAAATACACATGAGTAAATATATTTAAAACAACTTCTATGAGTAAAAGAACAAGATAAATAAATTAAATAGAGTATGTCATACCCAAAGTAAATTTTCTGATATAAAACTCAAGTAATTTCTCTGTCTCTTTGACTTCTCTTTTATTTTTTTCTTCAACCTTCCCTAGTTATTTCCTAACTAGGGTAAATTTGTGGTTTCCTTTGGGGGCCACCAATAGGTGTAAAGCGCACGGCCCCTGCGCCTTATAAGGCATGTGGAGTCATGCGCGTTGCCTTTGACGTTTACTAGTTGGCCGTTAAGGGACAAAGGGGGCATGTGAGGCCATGTGCATTTGTTTTTTTTCTGAATTTGTTTGCCCTATTGGCATTTTTGTAACAAAATCTTCCCTTTTAGCTCCGGACTCCAGATTTCAACATGTGATTAACATGTTTTTAAACAAAAAATGTGCTACTCAGGAAGTTCAATCACAATCTTTTTGATGTACTTGTTTCAACAGGAAAAGAACCTTCAGAAATAGAAGTTTTTGTAATTCATGTCACAGTTGCGCCCCCAACTAGTTTGGGATTGAGACAAATTATTGTAATTCATTTCATAGTGGCTTCCCCAAAAGTTTCAAAATGTCAACATGTGTGTGTTGGATTCTCCAACTGTAGTGTATTTTTGGAGATTCCGATATGGGTGCGGCATCAAAAGTGAAGAGTCCGCAACTTAGGTCAAAACCAGAAAGTGCTAAGAATTTATTTGGCCTTTGTGTGCAAATAACAACACCAGTTCCAAACAAGTTGGGGGTCGGCTATATGAACCCTCAATGACCATATTTCACTATTTCAATTCATATATTATGTAAATACACGGGCATAATACAAAGAAAAATTACTACATAGTGAATTCTTCATAAGTGCAGCAGAAAAATCCATAATTAAGCGAAATATATGAAATAAAATCATGATAATGACTTAAAACCCATTTTAATTTTCTTGATTTAGATGAAAAGTAGTTTTTCTTTAATTAGGTTAAGTATCAAAATAAGTTGTTTTATGTTTTTTGAAGCTAGCATCTTGTACCAAAGTTTTAATTTCTTAATACTAATCCCTAACAATTTCTTCATATCACTTCTAAACTTTCAACCTATCTATTTACCAACTATATCTATGCCTTCAAAGATAGATCATAAAGAGACTAAAGCACAGATCTGGGATTCCAACTAATGAACAGTGTTCAGGGAAGCATGAAGCGGAAAAAAACGATAAGGCCCCGCTTCACGCTTCAAGCGATCAAGCGCTCGCTTAAAGCGTTGAAGCGCTCGCACACTCATTCTAGTCTGTGAAGCGTAGAAGGCTCGCATCGCTTCGCATTCCTAAATACTGCTAATGAAATTCGAAAGATAACCTAGTTTCCACTTTCCTATACCTATTTGAGTGCCTATTTTTCAGACTTTGCTTTAAACACATGCTGCAAAAAATTAGACATTACTGGCATGTTCTTTCTAAAGATTATATTGCATCCATTAACTCTGGCAGATTTTTTCTCAAATAATTCTAGTTGAATTTTGCAGAGCTTCAACAACAACATCACTTCTTGAACTTTTAAACAACATACCCAGAGTCACAAGTGGGTTCTGGGGAGGGTGAGGAATATGCGGACCTTACCCCTAAAGCCTTAACTTTGTTGGGTAGAGAGATTGGTTTCTAATATACTTCTTTAACTTTCAAATTGGTGAAAATTTGGTTGGAAAATTTATGTAGTTTAAACCAAAACAGCAAAGCTAATTTTTTCCTAAAACTAGTACTACATGCATTCCCTCACACAAGATTTCTCTCCATTTCCTTCCCCCTTAAGAATGTCAAGAAAACTACTTTTTCTTTTATATAAAACAATATAAGGATTTATTCAGTCAGATTAGTAGATTACAGATGTAGAACTTATTTTTATTTCTGCAATTGACATAATAAATAAAAAGCATATAACTGCATGTTGCATAGTTGGATTAACCATCCCACCTTTACTTAGCTAACAGGAAAACATTTGAAGAACTCAGAAGCACCAAGAGTATATTAAGCAGAAAAAGACGTTAGAATACTTACAACATAAGTGCAGCAGAAAAATCCGGTTTGTTAAAACTAAGCCCAGCATTGCACTTCGTAAAAGAAGATGAAGCAGTATTAAATCCTATTTCTCCACCAAGGGCTAAATCCTTGTTGCCAATAGCAACCGAGAGCTCCAAGAGAGGGGAGGGATTTAAGCCAATACTGGAATTGATAGCAGCATGCTGATGAAGGTACTGAACATCGAGCTGAAAATACAAAATAAATGATTCAGAGATTGATATTGAATTCACAAACCAAATAATATACAGACTGTTCCTACTTAAAAAAAATCATAGGACATTGGAAAAAACGTGTCACACTATTTTTCCTTATGAGGTAAGGTAGTTCTATCAAAATCTAGATATTGCTTAGACACTATTTTATAACAGGTAGCTTGCTCGTCTAATTGACACGATAGGTTCAATTACTTTCTTTCCACTCCACTTAACTGCTGGAAAAGAGAATGTAATAGAAATAAACTGAGATTTTTATACCGTTCACAACTTCAAATTAGCACCATCTGATTATTGAAAATAGTAGAACCAGTAATCTAGATGACCCACAAATTGTCATCACTAAGTGCATGCCCATAGGGATAATAAGTAAAGCATTGACTCCCATTTTCAAAGACAACTTAACAAATAGACCCGTCTTCACATGTGTATCTTTCATAAGATTTCAAATTTTGAGTTGTGTAAATAAAGGAGTCTGGAATTAGCACATTATCCCCCAAAAACAAGTCAGAATTGAAGTAAAAATAAATTAATGAAAATTCATTAAATGTTTCAAGTCCATGTGTCCAACTCTAAGGTTCAACATTGCACTGCATGATAATTAACATTACCTAAGATGATGATGCTCAGGGAATAGAGGATGCTATGGATAAGGTGAAAATGTAATTGGTGATAATATATGATATAGACCTATATGAATTACTTGCATCTACAGAAATTTTTTAAGAATAATACTTAGTAGGTAGCACATTAATTATAGTTCACTTAGCAGCCAGTGACGCTTTCACAAAGTCTCACAAATCATTATCTGTGTGTACCAGTACTACCAATGAAACAAAGACATAACTGGAAATAATCAATTTAAAAATGAGCTATCGTTTATCCTCTAATTTGTCTCTTCGCCCATAATATCTGTGGTAGCATGACAAGCACTAATTTAATTCTTTGGCTCATACATGAGTTGATGTGTATCAGACAGACCAGAGATTCTTTAGACCAGTACTTGAGAAAGCACAACTATTAACCTTGCCAGACTTGTGATCAGGTATGTTGAAGCCTAAGGACAGTTTCGTGGATCGGAAAACATCAACCAGTGTAACTTTTGTTGAGACCTGCATATAAGGTAACATATAAACATCACATAAGAAATTCGTTGCACTTACAAATAAGAGATCCAAGAGTTTAAATATATCTCAGGATCACAAAGTAGATTATCAAGAGGACAAGCAATTGCTGGTGCAAGTGACAGGCTATCTGCTCTTACATTGGAATAGGTATCAACTTTGATATCAACAACTGTACTTCCAAGCTTATATTGAGTACTTATATCACCAATAAAAATTTGATCTTTCTTCACACCAGTAGCTGTTATTCCCTAATATGAGAAAATGACAGAAGTTAGGATTGGATTCAGATATAACTCTAAATTAAAAACTTCCAGAAAAAATTGCCCAGTACATAGCAATGATAAACGTCAGAAACACCAGATTTTACAGCACACCAACACCATCTGTTGGGATTTGGGGAAGGTTCTATAGTCACAATAAATGGAAGCATACCAAGTATGATTGCCGATAAAATTCACAAACGTCACTTTCAAACAAATTGCAAACTTATGCAAGACATGAAACATTTCTAGATCAATTTCAAGGGATATACAAAATGGAACACCATAATCAAGTGGAATCAAGAGATATTAGCATATGCAAACTGTTATTTTAGACAATGTAAGTGAGATCAGGTGAGGTCCTAATACCTCTTCTCCTTGCAAACTATATAGCAGGGTAAAGTCGCCAGTCATGACTAAAGTAGAGGACAATTTCCATTTCTCCCAAAACCAAAGGATGCAAGTACATTTTCTAAAGAATCAAGAACACAAATGTTCTTATGAACATCTTTCTTCCATTTATATTTCATTCTCAAAGGATTTCCTTGAGTTGTAACCAAACATTACTTAAGCTCACGACACTGAATAATGTTACGGAATTCCTTCTCAATAAATAAATAAAAGAAGAATGATCATCCTATAAAACCAGTACTCGGACACAGTACAAGAACAGTAAGAAAATATTATTTGTACCCTCAAAAGGGAAAATAGTGGATTGGTAATTTTCAAAACCAAATTAAGTTCTTACAAGCCTTGCATGTACTTCAGGACCAAAAATAATAATTATATAGAAGTGGATGTGACCAGGTTTTAATATGAATTGACTTTAGTTATCAATTTGCAAATGCAGCAATTACAACTGTGTCAGCCACATGTGGAATAAAGGATGTCTTACATCAAAATTAGGCTATTAGGAATAAAGTCAGTATCCCTTAACAATGTTGTAAAAGTACAGAAGTTTCAAAACCTCATATAAATTTTACAGAAAAACTTGTGTGTCAGCGTGTGGGTGTGTATACGTGCACACAGTTAAATCCTTTCCTTTCTATTTTGCTTTATTTTACTTCATCCTATTCTCCTTTCTCAGAAAAAGGACCTTCCATGTTTAGATGGGGTGTAATTTGTTAACCCAGTACTGCTAGAATGGGAGCAGTAGGTGATTTTATCCCATTGGCTTAAGCCTTGATGGGCAGAATACCCTGTACTTGTATGGTAATAGGTACTCAGTGGATAAGTCGAGGTGTGCAAATTGGCCCTAACACCCTTTTCATAAAAAAAAATTTTAAAAAATCTAGTACGAAGGACAGATATCAGACTTGAAGACACATAATAATATATTTCAGAATGAATCAAATGATTTAGCAACTTAAAGTACATATTTCCAATATCAAGATAATAAATAATTCACAATAACGTGTGCAGGTGGAAAATTTTGGCAGCCTTCTGAAGCCCAAATAGAAGATTCAACAGCTTAAATAATCTAAAAGAGTAACAGTAAATGAGAGAATAAGCTAGTACCATCCCACTGGAGCTCGGAATAGAGAAGGTGAACTTCTGATCATAACTGTAATCTTTGGTCAGTAGATCTGCATGAATGTGAGCATTGCACAGACCATTAGATAGTTCTCATATAGCAAAAAAATGCAAGCCCTCTACCAGAAAAGATTATCTTAAGAGATGGATAAAAGTTGTTAAAATTGTTAAATGACTAGATCTTTAGATGAGCAAATAGAAATCTATTCAAGGAATTTTGATGATAATCGAACAGTCAAAATTCAAAACTATATACTTCACCATGTTAAGTTGTTATAACAATCTAGGTGGAAAAAATCAGTATGAAACAAATAGGTTATTGCAGGCTATATAAGCAAAATGGTTAAAGTTTGAGCTCCGCTCTCCCTGCTGCAATCTCAGCAAGCTTTGTAGTGACCTGAAGCAAGCTCATTCAGCCTGACTTACTCTTATTCAAGGCTTCGTATAACCTATTTCAACAAGTTTGGGAGGCGAGTTTGAGCAAACCCAGCTTGAAAGGCCTATAAATCGGCATACTTAAAAAAAAAATTTAAATAATATATATATATATATACACACACACACATATATATAAATATGTATTTGGCATATTTTCTTAGTGATGGTGAAAGTGCAATCTGTACACTAAGTTGAGCATAAAGTCTTCCCTTTTCCCTTTATGAGTACTTGAGCACAGAATCTTCTCAAAAGCACAAATTACACAAGGTAAATAACTTGTGTTGAAGGCTTGAAGCTTGGGCCAAACTCACCCATATACAAATAGTATACCAGAAAATAGAAGACCTACAGAAGAATAAACTTACTGTACTCTTGATAATTATTGTTAATACATGTGCTATAACTTATACAGTACAATCACGTATTTAATAGGGGAGGAAACATGTAACTGATTCCAAGAGGAGAGTGTAGAGTTGGTAAGGCCAAAGAACCAAAACATTGATGTGAATTGGCTCAAAATGGTACTGGTATACACTTGAAAACTCTCCAGTAAATGTGAAGTTCCAAATAGAAAATAGACAGTATCTCCTTTTTATAACCATGGTAACCGGACTAGCTTGTGCACACCTCGAATGATTCCACGAGGTACCTACTATCTCCCACATCAGCTCATATGCAGAAAGAACTTGAATATAGCAAACTATGCCTCTTAAACTCTAACAACCAAGGCTTGGGCAGATGGAAAGAAATCACCTAGTATTATTGCTTCCATTGGGAATTGAAGCTGAGACCCTAAATATACAATATCATGGGGCTAAAATCAAGAGAACCCTCCTGCATGGTAGGGTACTTAGTTTGTGCTGGCTGACTTTTGACAGGTTCAATTACCTAAACAGCATAGTAAGGAGAAATTTTTTGGTTCTTCCAATTGGTTTTGCAGATCAAGTTTACTAATTGTATTGGTACATGAAAATGTTTTCCTTAATTCATTTTACCTTCCTAATAGGTATCAGAAGCATCAGTACTCCATTAAATTGATGGTGAATCATTACCTCTTGCCCGCCTGCCGATTTCGGAAAATGGTGCCGGGCTCTGCTCCATCTCTTCTTCAAATGAAATCACCCTGATCAATACTGATGAACAATGAGCATCCAATTAGTTATGCCCGCATGATCGAAAGAAACACAGTTAGTTATGGAAGAAATACCACTTTTCTCCCAGTATGCATAAACCATAACCAGAATCAAGCAACATGAAATTTTGTATTTGCAGTAGACAAATTTGGACCATCAACAAGTTAAGTGAAATTGTTTCTTTGTTTTCTAATCGAAATTGTTCTTTGTTTTCTAATCTTAATAATACGGCCTTTCTTCAACTAGTTGTATACTCTTGCCCGTTCACACGAAGAACAATCCTAGAAGAATATCTACAAATATTAACCATATACAAGCTCATTCTCGATGAAAACAGAATCATAAGGTATCCAGAAGAAGACTAAATGAAATTATTCTGTTCCAATTTTAACAACACTTAACATATTTAAACTTGTAAACAACTTCGGGCCTGAAATGAAAGATTGAGTTATAATAGTATAAAACTGAAATTTATTTTCTTTTTTCTAAATTGATAGAAGGACTTGAAATTTCTCCTGATAAGTTCCTCATAGTTTTCAAATTCACAAATACTTCTCCACGGTCAGCAATGTCTATCTTGGTATCGATTTCCCCATGAATACTATGAGCCTAATATATATTCTTTTGATTATCAAAGCAAAATAATACACAAATAGACAGATTAATCCCAATCTCCATGTACTTTTCTTCCTTTCCAGAACAAGTACATTGAAATTATTACTGGTGAAACTTCAAACAAGATTGTCTACTGTAAACCCCATTTTGTTGATATTACTATAAGTGGCTTTTCAATTATTCGACTACCTAAATGCATCAAAACAGTAATACCTATTGGAAGTCAATGGAATTCAAAGAAAACCATAACTGAAACCCAGCCCCACAAATTAATTAAGGCCTAATACATTTCTTTGACTATATAAGCTACTATTACTCAAACAGCAATCTAATTAAACCCCCAATTCAAACTCCATACCTTTTTTTTTCCTTTCCAGATCAAGTACATTCCGTACATTTTTCTTCCTTTCCAGAACAAGTACATAGACATTACTAGTAAAACTAAATAAGTGGCATTTCAATCATTTAACAACCTAAAAGCAGCAAAAACAGTAAACCCCATTAGAAGTCAATGCAATCAACTTTCAATCAACCACACAAAACCCAAAACTAACACCAACCCACATACAAAACAATCAAATACAACTAACAGAATCTGTATAGAACCATTTGGATTAATTTTTAATTTTTTTTTTCAATTTTCAAAATTAACAGTAAGTATCAAAGAAAAAATTAAATCTTTGAAACCAAAAAAACAAAAGAAAAAACCCAAAAACAGAGAAACGGAGAGAGAGAAATGGGTTTTCACTAACCTTTCTGATTCTCGACAGAGACCAAGAAATCGCCGTCGAGATTTGGGTTGTGCAGAAGAAAATGACTGAACCTTAGCTTAAACCTCTTAACTCTGTCTCTTCAATACCTGAGGGGTAGATTTGTCATTCCAATCTAATCATTTCCTCATATTTGGACCTTGGGCTTGGGTCTAAAATATGATGATTGAGCCCAAGTTGGTGTATATAGGTTGGGTTGCTTTAGTTTTTTAAAATGAAAAAATTATATGCATATTGTGTTTAGTAAGACACCAAGTTATAACATTATATTAAAACATATTATTTATAAAATATAGTTTTTAATAAATATTAATATACAATAGTTTATTGGAAAATAACATAATTAGATTAGTGTATTCAGAATTTTGAGATCATGGATGCACTAAACGAAAAAATGGATCTAAGATATAAGTTTGATCAGTTTGATATTTAGATTGTTATCGCTAATATGATACTTCAAATGTGGGTTCACACATCTATATTTAAAAATACAACACTACTATATATAATTTCATGAGGAGGCATGGGTTCACGTGAATTTGGTGACCTTATGTTGCATATACCATGATTAAACATACACTCTCATATATACAATAATTATCAAAATATTACGAATCATACCACTAATCATGAGTTTTTTTTAAACATATATGTATGTATGCAACCATAAACACTAAAATAGAAAGAGAGGTAAGCAAGATAGCCATGGAGGTGAACGAGATTTTGTTATATATCTCATAAAATATACATGTGAATCACACTAGATACATGTATATGTATGTATCTCGTGTTATTTGCATATATCTGAGATACTATACATGTATGTATCTCGTGTTATTTACATATATCTGGGATACTAGATATAAAGAAGAGCGGCGAGCGAGATGGGAGAGAGGTGAAGGAGGCAAGTGAGATTTCTTATGTCCTCAAATACATATTAATCTACTTGGATATAATGTATCTAGAACAAATTTAATCACATGTGTATATACTGAAATCCATGTAAATAGACGTATCTTAACGCACCAAAATATTGTAATATTCTTAAGATGTGATGCAAAAAAGGAATCTCCAACTCTATCTAGAAGTCGATTCAATCAATTTCTATTGTTGCATGTAACTCCTAACAATGAATCAGATACATGAGTAAGTCAGAATCAAATGATTTGATTTTTTGAAAAAACCCGAACCAACCCGATTTATGCAAACCTTTAGATATGACAGAAATCAGATTTTTTTTGGGAGAAAAACCAACTAACGTTTTAAAAATAAAAATAAAAAGCTCTTGAACAACCACCAAACGCTTGAATAACTTAGCCCAATGAGAGATTAAAAAATAAACAGTGGCTTACAGCATAAATGCCAATCCAGTTTTTCATCAACCCAATCAAGCACCTCATTCATGTGCCAGTAGATAAAACATACAAAATGGAAATCAACTACTCCATCTGCTGTCAAAATTGGTGAATAAAACTACATTTATGAGTACATAATACCAGTAATAATTACTAAATCAACGACGAAAACAAAAGGCGATATTCCAATCATCTGTGTGCTCAGACGTCAACCTCGTCAGACGTCTATGGTATAAAAATGCCCAGAGGCTGCTCGTGATCATCAATTAGCACCTAAGGAAGAGTGGAGCTTCTGTTAACATCAAGGTGCCAATTAAAAGAGGTAAGCAAGGATCATGGATGCACAACCTGTTCTGGTTAATCATCCAAATAATAGTAAGATCCAGCTGACTTCTGCTCCCTATCCTTGGTTGATTCTAGTTTGTTGATCCTTGGACGGTAATTAGTTGGGTCCCTTCGAAACGTAATGTTCAGATGCTGCACATAATTTGGATAGCACACACATCAATAAGAACACAAATCCAATCAACATACCAGAATATAAAAGCTAATGCAGTAGTCTAAACAACATTTGTTTTGATGGAGAAAATATGAGCTACACGACGAGATGAATCTTGGAGTAACGAATATGTTAGTAAGAGAACTTTCAAGTAATGAGGCAAGATATATGCAGAAGGCTTACTGATAAAAATAAGTTCATTCCAGTCAACAGTGATTGAGGTGCATTTGCAACACAATCTATGGAAGGCGTCCCCTCATATACAATGACTCTATCTGCCAGGTAAGTTGCCATTATGAAGTCATGCTCTACAACAAATGCAGTCTTCTTCGCGTGAAGAATGAATCTCTTGATGACTTTAGAAGCTACAATACGCTGCTCAGAATCAAGATAGGCACTTGGCTCATCGATCAGATATATATCAGCGGGCTGCACAGAGTTAAGTGAGTAAGTTAGGTTACAATTTATAAATACATCATTAGAGTAAGAAAGATGAGTGCAATAGTCTTCATATGCTGCTATTGCAGACAAACTTTCCTCTTCATTTACACTTCACTATAAATAGTACCCCTATCTAAATGGCTTTAGAGTAACGTGATAAAAACATATTTTTAGCAACATAATTATAACTGTGCAGTAAGAAACACAGATATTTAATGATATTAAAGCATATGTTTAGACTTTTTCATAAATAACAAAATGGAGGCAGAGAAGCAGCAAGATGCAATACGGATATTAACTAATCCACGATGCAAATAGAAAATTCTAGCTGGTTTTGTCAATTAACTTGACAAAACCCTGAACATGACACCGTAGACTAGGGAAGAAATAAAACAACAAACCTATAAAAATGTTAGAACATCAAACAAACAGATGGAGAGACCATTCACATTCTTGGATCAGATACCATTACATTGCCATAAGATCTAACTTTTTTTGTAACTTGAGGAAATTTCATTAATAGAGTACCAAGAAGGTACTGCAAAATACAGAAAAACACATTGACAAGGCTGTTACAGTTCCACCTCTAATATATCTAAAACATCCAAATTAGGGCCTGATAGCTAATATTTGCAAGGCCATTCCGCAAAAGTAGGATACAATAAAGTAAAATGAAGAGAAGGAAAAAAAAGAAATACCAACGGAAAGGAGGCCCAAAATCTGTCACATAGAGCCAAAAAAGAAAAAAGAAGGAAGACTACTGCAATTTTCTACTTTTGGTGTACAGCACATTGTGCACAAATGTTGAACAGTTAGAAGATCTTTTAGGATTACTACAATCACTTTCTTGTTTTCGCTGGTTGCCACCTTTTTGGAGGAATGCTGAGTAATACAACATTACCAGTTCTTCTTCAAAAAAAAAGGGATGTTTGGACCAAGACATCTACCAGATCAATGTATAAAACAACCAAAGCAGCAGTTCTACAGAATGGGAGAGGATTACCTTTCCAAGGCACAGGGCTAAGGCAACTCTTTGCAACTCACCACCAGAAAGATTCACAACTTCTTGGTCCATCAATTGCTCAATTTGGAGAGGCTTCATCACATCTGAACAAAACTGGGGGTGTTGATAAGAATCACGTATTTTTTGATGTAGCAAATGTCTCACAGTGGATTGAAATTTTGGACTAATTTTCTGGGGCTTGTATGAAACATTGAACTCTGGCATCTCAATATCAGATCCTTCCACCACGTCAGGCTTTAATAGACCAGCCTGCAAAACACAAATGGAAGAGTCTTTATAACACAGAAGACTGGAAACAGCAGCAATTTCAGACATGACATACTTGTGAATCAAACATACCAGCATACGAATGAAGGTTGTCTTCCCAGTCCCATTCTCACCAAGCATCACAACAATCTGTGAATCAGTAAATTCACCCTCAGAAACCTTAAGCTTGAAATTACCTTGAGTCTTAGTCATGGTAGGATATCTGTAACGTGCATATGATTCAATTTCCTCAGCAGCCTCTTGTGGGGTCTCAGCAACCTATGGAAAATGATATCGTTCAGATAATATTTTTGCCATGACATGTGAGTAATAAAAAAATCTGAGTCCTACCTTAAAAGTAAGAGACTCGTCACGAAAACGTAGATTTTCTGTAGGCACAAACCCAGCCAAAAATATATTAATTCCTTCCCTGACTGAGAAGGGTAGGGTCACAACTCCGTACGCACCGGGCTTTCCATATAAGCAGCAAATGAAATCCGACAAATAATCAAGCACACTAAGATCATGCTCCACAACAATGACATAGCTGAAACATTGAAGATTATTTCAGTACGTGGTCTAATAAATAAAAATCTTGATTGTTGAAAAGTCAGAAGAGAATGGACTAGAACCTATTTGGCCGAAGCAAGGATCTGACAACTTGGGCAGCTTTAAGCCTTTGCTTCACATCAAGGTAACTCGAAGGCTCATCAAACATGTATATCTCTGCATTTTGTATGGCAACAACAGCAATAGCAAACCTCTGAAGCTCTCCACCAGATAGATCACCTACATTACGATCCAAAACCTGATTCAGCTCTAGATCAACACAGAGTTTTTCCTTCACGTCTCTCTCATCTTTTTGGTCAAGCACTTGTCCGACATTTCCTTGAACTGCCTTTGGAATATGGTCAACATACTGAGGCTTGATAATTGCCTGTTTGAAGAAAGGTTCAAATTACAAATGAGTAAAATACTATATGGTCAAAAGCAAAGGTGATTAGATGCAACAAATAATGGGTAAAAAAAAAAGACAGCTCTTTTAAAAAAATAAGGTAACCAGTAAGAAAAAGGTTATCTATAGAATGGTGTGCTGAATTTTAAAATTCAAGTTGCTCAACAATTCTTTGAATGATTCATTCAATCATGAGCAGTTGAGCATCCTTTATTATTCCGGCAATGACCTACTGAATATTTTATTCAGGTGTAGCGGGTGGTCTTGCTGCTCCCTAGTAGAAAAAAGGATATTCCAGAATTCTACACAAGTTACGGACACCGCCGTACTACCATTGGAACAATGAAAAATCATAACAGGTACAGTTAGGACCTAGAGTTAGGTGAATAACTAGTAATGATTTGACCAATCACAATGGTACAGAAAAAGAAAAACCTTTTCTGGAGATTTACAATGCCCTCCAAGTCAGAAAACTAAATCCATTGTGTTGTAGATGTTTTGTTTATTTCAAACATTACGCAGGTACCCC